GGCTGGACGGAGCCGGGCCAACGCGTTTTTCCCTCTGCCGGATCCGAGGGGAAGGGGAGGAAGCTGAATCATTTTGATTTTATTTTTTTTAATTTTTTTTTTTAGCTGAGATTCCTTCCTTCCTTCCTTCCTGTCCCCAGAATACCGATATGCGCAACCGTCTGCGGGGCTGTGGCCCGGGAGAGCGGCCGGCGGCAGGGTTTGGCACGGGAGATGTCGGGTAATCCCGGTGCTACCGGGCAATGCAAAGCCTATCGTCGGGCTGCGGTCATTTTGATTTTATTTTTTTTAATTTTTTTTTTTAGCTGAGATTCCTTCCTTCCTTCCTTCCTGTCCCCAGAATACCGATATGCGCAACCGTCTGCGGGGCTGTGGCCCGGGAGAGCGGCCGGCGGCAGGGTTTGGCACGGGAGATGTCGGGTAATCCCGGTGCTACCGGGCAATGCAAAGCCTATCGTCGGGCTGCGGTGGAAGCAATGACTCAATTGCGAGAGGCATCCCAGCAAGGCACTGGTTTCCCTTTTCAAGTTGTGGGGTGGTTTGTTGGTTGGTTGGGTTGTTTTTTCCATATATATTTCTAATTTTTTGCAACTTTTCCCGCTGCCGGGCCGGCGCTGGCCCCACGTGCCTCCCCGCTTGACTCAAAAAGGCGGCAGGTTTCCAGGCGTGCCAGTGCGGGCTCCGACTCTTGGCAAAACTTTTCGCCGGAGCTGGAATCGCAGGGACCAACCATTTAGAGACCTGGGAGGGGGCGGAGAAAAAAGTAAAAAAAAGATAAAAATAAACCTCCCGGTCTCGGAGAGAGCGTTTTACAAAGCCCCGGCTGGAGGCTGACCCGCTTTGAGGATTTGATCCGGTTCCTCTCTTAATCTTTTAATTGTGGCGGTTGCTCTGCGTGGGCTGCCGAGGTGGCAGCGCCTGTGCTGCGCTTTGCTCTTTAGCCTGCGCGATGATTTTATTTTCCTCCTTGTTCTTCCTTTTTGGTTTTTTTTATTGCTTTTCACCTCGGCTGTGCCCGGCTGGCTACATCTCGCCGGGATGCCCGGCGTGTCCTGCCCTCGCTCCCCGACGGGATGCCCTCTTCCATCCTGCCCCCGTCGCAGACAGCCAGGGCGAGAGCATCTCACTCCCGTCACGTGGCTGTGAAAAGCAAATTGCTGTGATTTAATCACAAGTAGCCAAAATCGGGGGAAAATAACCTCAGAAACTGAGGGGAGCGCATAGGATGTGGCTGCAGGTGTCAGTTCAGAGACTGGCACCAGTGCTGGGACTGGGTGAGTCAAGGGCGGTTGCAGGATTTGGGCATCGTAGAAGGGCTCTGGAGTTATAATTTTTAGGAAAAAGAGAGGGCTGATCTTTCAGTGCACCGAAAGGAACTTCCCCCGCTGGAAATAGGTGCCGGGGTCAGGTCTCTGTCGAGCTGGCAGCGTTTGGTTTAAAATGGCATGTTTTGACTCTCCGTAAGTCAATTAGGAAGGAGCTTATGCAAAGCCGAATTAAACTACTCTTTTAGACGGCAATAAGCCAGCGCTGGCCCGGCTCCTTCTGGCGAGATGGAAACGGGCTCCTGCCACGGGCACGGGGTTGGCATCTCCCCTATGGGACCGATGGCTCCTGGTTGGGTTGAGGGGCTCAGCCACGTGGGGCCCTGGCACCGTTGGGCACCGGGGAGCTTCCCCTAACGAAGAGGCTTAACGACTGTCCCACGGCGCAGCGGGACCTTAAGTCCTGGCATCCGGAGCGATGCGGAAAGAGGAGTCGATCCTTCCTTGGCCTGGATAAGCAGCAGGTCTGACCTGCCCCGAGCACCCCTCCGCCTGGCTGTCGGGTAATCCCGCGGGGTTAATCCTGAACCTGCCCTTCGACCCACAAAGGTTCCGGTCCCCGTCCTGGATTGCCTCTGAAATGGGGAGGGGAGTTCCATCCCTGCCCCCAGCTCCTGGGGAAGCCACGGGGATGCTTTGGCTTCATCCCCACTTCATCCCCCATCCCTTCATCCCGGGCTGCAACCGTGCCTGGGCTCCTTCACGCCGAGGTCCTGGTTTATCTCCCGCTTTGGCGAGCGAGGGTTGTAATCGAGCAAATCTGAGGCTGTGGCGTAACAGTTGTGCAGGTCAGGTCTGGATTAAGGTTGTTTGGGCAACCTTAAATGAGGTGTTTCCTAATGTTTGTCTCCTGGAGCGGGGAAGGAGCCGGGGAGCTGTTGCACCTCGGGAACCGGCAATGGGCTGTGGGGCTGTTGCATTTACGCTGCTGTGGGCTCCAAATTTGCATCCCTGTGGGGCGGTTTTGGGGTGAGACCCTCTTGCTCAGCCCCAAAGGAGGGCTGAGAGTCCTGCTCGGCTTCGTTGTCCTGCAAACGAAAGCGGGCTGGGTTCGCTGCAGACATTATTTTAGGCAGGGAGGAGGGTTGCCCAGGAGATGCCACCCATGTTCTTCCCCCAGCCTGTCTCCAGGCAGCCCCCCTGCCCGAGGGACGATGCCGGGGGGTGATGCCTACCTCTCCCCATCATCCAGAGGAGGGGTCGAAGCCAGGAGGAGGATTTGCCCCGGCGAAGGTGAATCCTGCCCTGAACCCGACCAGTGCTGCGAGGCCGTGCCATGCGCCGGGAGGTGTTTTTTGGGTCCTGCCACTTTCCCCAAGGGGTGTAAGCACGCTGTGGCTGTGCTGTCTGTCACTCCTCTGCCTCTGGATCTGTTTGTCTCCTCTTTTCCCCCCCCTCCCCGCACCGCTGTCCTCTGGGTGTCCCTTGTGCCATCTCTCACCCCTGTCTCTGTCCTCCCCGGCAGCCGACCGGGCAGCAAGAGGCAGCCTCACCTGCCCAGGTAAGCGGGGTCGGGGACGGGGCTGCTCGTGCTCTCATCCTGCGCCCTCGCGTCATCGCAGCCTCCAGGGGGTAAGGCAGAGACCGGCTGCTCTTCCCGCTGGGCGCACCTTCATTTTCTTGCTCTTCCCGTTGCTTTCCAACCCCTCTGCCCCTGCCCCGACGGGGGAGAGCTGTGGTTGATTTGGTTGGGAGGAGGAGAGGCAGGACAGCGGAGCTGGGCTTTCATTCCTGGCGTGGCGTAGGATCCTGGAAGGGCGCAGGGAAGCGGGGGCAGCGCTCCAGGGCCCTCATTTTGTGGATGGAGCCGGGTTTGGAGGCAGAGTTGGTCCCCTAAGGAAGGTAAAGGTCAGGGGCTGCTCCGGGATGCTGTTCCCTCCAGCCGCAGCTCGGGGGTCTCCTGCCCGCACACGGAGCTCCCTGGCACCGTCTTGTTCAAGCAGTGTTCACAGGGATGGTTGCCCAGCCTTGACTTCTCCAAACCCCCGTTAGCTGGAGAATAAATGCTGGGACTAAAAAGAGCCATGTGGATGCGCCGCCCCCCCTTCCTATCGCAGTTTTCCAGCATGCCAGCGAGGGGATGTGCTTGTGCCCCTTCGAAGCCCCAGCCCACGCGCCCATCCAGCACCCAAAGCCGTGCTGCGGGACTTGCGAGGCTCAGTAAAATAACTGTCTATTGTCTGTCTGTCTCTCACCCGTCCTTCGCTGCTTCGTGTCTCTCCTTCCATCCGCCCCACTGCAACCCGGTAAAGATTGGCCGCCGAGCTCCATCCCATCTGCGCTGCATGATATACATCTCTCCTCCCGCCTGCCGCCTTCGCTGCTCTCCCTGAGCCCCGCTCGCCCCGGGCAGCCCCTGCTGCTCCTCCCTGATGGCAAACGCGAGATCTCGGGGTCCTGGCCCCGAGCGGGTCTCTTTTGGGGCTCTTCCCAGAGCCCTGTGGTGGTGAAGGGAGAGGAGCCTTTTCTCAAGGTGGTTTGGGGACAGGCATCTGGAGGGACAGGCAGCACTCGCCCATGCGGGCTGCCGTCACCTTCCAGCTCTGTGCATTTGTTTTTCCTGAGCTTGAGAAGGAGCTGTGGCTGGAGGATGGCTCCGTCCAGCCATCCCCAGTCCCAGCATGGCTGCAGGATGACTGTCCAGCCATCCCCAGTCCCAGCATGGCTGCAGGATGACTGTCCAGCCGTCCCCAGTCCCACCATGGCTGCAGGATGACCCTGTCCAGCGGTCCCTAGCCCCGGCTGTGGCCGGAGGATGGCTCCATCCAGCCGTCCCCAGTCCCACCATGGTTGGAAGATGACTGTCCAGGCATCCCCAGCCCCACCATGGCTGGAGGGTGGCTCCATCCAGCCATCCACGGTCCCAGCCATGGCTGGAGGATGGCTTCGTCCCTGGTCCCAGGGGTGCCTGGAGGATGGCTCCATCCAGCCGTCCCCCTCCCTGACCTCTCCTCCTCCTCCTCCCCAGGTTAAGCAGCCTGTCTTCCCTGGGTGATTCCTCTTCAGAGCGGAGGTCTCCTGGGCACCACCGCCAGCCCTCCGACTCCTCCGAAACCACAGGTAGGTTTCCCTGCCCCCTCCTCCGCTTCTCTTGCGCTTGAGAGCTGCATTTAGTGCCCTGTCCACACAGGGAGCTTGGTGGCACATTGCCACCTTGCAGCACCCTGGGGGACAGGGCTTCGTTGGTCCTTCGTGGCACCCAAAGTCACCCAGCCAAGGCTGCGTGTGCCTGGGGAGGGCAGAACCCTTCCTCAGCTGCCGGCTGAGCAGCCCAGTGGGGCCAGGGATGATGCTCCGGCTGCCGGGAGCTCTTCCCACCCTGCTCGTGTTTTCAGGAGAAAGGTTCCAAGCAGGGACATCACGTGGCGGGGTTCGTAGGGTGAGCAGGAATTAGCCGTGCCTCCGGGGTCTGGCCGCAGGGTGGCTGACTCCAGGGGCTCGGCACCAGGCTCGGGCTCGGGAGAGCCATCAGAAGCCTCAGCCCCTGAAACCGAGAGCGGTGGGGGGTCCCCACAAAGCCAAACCCCCTCCCCAGGCTTGGAGTCTCACTGGTTCTCCCTCCTCTTCCTCCCCAGGTCTGGTCCAGCGCTGCGTCATCATCCAGAAGGACCAGCATGGCTTCGGCTTCACCGTCAGCGGGGACCGCGTCGTCCTGGTGCAGTCGGTGCGGCCAGGTGAGAGGGGCCGGTGCGAGGGCAGGGGGGGCAGGCGATGCCTCAGGGCTCCCCTCACCCGCTCAAAGCCACATCCCTCGTGAGAAAACGTGGGAGAGAGGGGTTTTCCTTCCTCAGCGTTGCAGGATTGGGGTCTCGCCACGGCATCGGCAACGATGGGCAGGACACGATCGCAGGACACGGAGGGGGCAGGAAGGCGGTTTTGGGGGGAGTGTTTTGGGGAAGCTCCCCAGAACTGCCGTGCTCTCCCCGCTCCTCGTACAACCCGGGGAGCTGCTGACGGTGGGTGGGTGGGGAATTCCCTTTTGTAGCCCTGGGTAAACACAGATTCAGCAGCTCGAGCTGCTCTTGGCGCTGTGCTGCAGGAGACGCTGCCGGTTTTGCTGTATAATGACTTTGCGGGGTGGCAGGGCTTGGAGCAGCAATTTAAATAGACAATGAGCTGCTTATTTTACAGCGGATGTTCCCACCTCCTCCCCCTTCCCCCCGGCTCTAGCCCGAAAGCCAGGAAAAATGAGAATATAGGAAAGGGAAAAACACTGTGAGTTTCAAGGGCAGGTTAGCGCTGGAAGTGCCTCACTCCTGCAACTGGAGCTGCGTGGGGACCCCCCCCGACATCTCACCCCACAGCTGGATGGGGGGACAGGTCTGAGGTCCCCGGGTGCAGGACAGCCCGGCGTCCCGTTCCCCCTCTCCCTGCTCACTTCATTTGCCAATAACGAGACCGATAAAGCCGAAAGAATCTGAACAATCCGATGTACTTTCCACTCTCAGAGCTCGCTGCCGTGTCTCAGACCCTTGGCTTGGAGTTGAAACTAATGGAAACATTTTCCTCTTGGTTTTGGCTTTAGGAAAAGCGAATTTTTCATGTATTCCAACCTCGGCGGCTTTGTTAAAGAGCAGGAGGGGGAGAGGAGGCAGAGCAGTGCTGCTCTTCCTGGGCCCCGCTCCTGCCTTTGGATCCAGGCACATGGTGGCTCTCTCGATTGTGTCGGAGCCAACCCGAACGGTGGGATAACAGGTTGGGGCCCCCATGTCCATCCCGAGATGGATGGAAAAGGCTGCAATCTGGCTGGGAGAGCAGAGGAGGGCTTGTCCGGATGAGCTATGAGCTGAATGTGTGCTGGGTGTTGTGCGTTAAAGCAACCAAGGCTTGGTCGCCAGCCTTGTCCCGCGGGGAATACGTACCCCGTGGTCCCCGTGTCCCCACCCTGGCAGGATGAAGGGCACAGGCTGGGCCAGGACGATCTGGGACTGGCGGGAGGGGAGCCCCTGGCTCCGTCTGCTGCTCCTCCAGCCCTCCTGACGCCTGTCTCTCCTCCCTGTGTTGCAGGGGGGGCGGCCATGAGAGCTGGGGTGCAGGAGGGGGACCGGATAGTCAAGGTGAGCATCCCCGGCCGTCATCCCCACTCCTTTTCCAGATGAGGCCCTGTGCCCTGCTCTCCCCCACCAGCCTGTCTGACCCCCTGTCTCCTCCTCCAGGTGAACGGCACGATGGTGACCAACAGCTCTCACCTCGAAGTGGTGAAGTTAATCAAGTGTGAGTATGGCCAAGGAGCTGCGGTGGCTACTTCTCATCCCGGGTGACCGGCAGCCCCGGTCCCCATCAGCCGGCTGCTCTCCCCGACCGCCCCGCTCCATCGTGCCCGGGCTGCTGTGGACGAAATGGGAGGAGACAGCGCGGGTGTGCAGGAGCACGTTTTCAGAGGGCTACTAGGGTCATTGGTGGCAGCCAGTCCCCACCTCTTGCACCCACAGGGTGACGGTCTGCCCCATAGCAGGGTCCTAAAAAGACAAATCAGTGTTTACAGCCTCGGCCACAAGCCTTGCAGCGCAGAGAGGGACACTCTCTGCGCTTGTTCCTCCCCAGCCTGGGAGACCACAGGATCCTGCCCAAGGGCAGGTCTTAATTTTGGGGAAAAGATGGGAAAATCTGTCTCAATCCTTCCAGTGAGTGTTTGCAAGCTGGGCCAGGATAGCACCTGCCTCAGCAGAGGTGGCCTCGCTGCTTACAGGGACAGGGACGTGCCCACCCCGATGCCACGATGCCCGTCAGATGTTTCAGGTTGAGAGAATGAATAATGGAAGCCTGTCTAACCCTCTTTTTCCCCCTCCCAAATTTTCCCAGCAAAAAAAACCCCCCTGGGCTCTCCCCCTCCTTCGGTGGGACTCTCAAGTTCTCAGCAAGACGTGAGCACGGCGGGGGCTCCCCGCGTCACCCCCGTCTGTCCCCCACCACCTCCCCCACCACCTCTCCCTCCACCGCAGCGCATCACCGACCCCAAGCCCCTGCAGGTAGCAAACTGTGCTGTCACCCAGCCGTCCACGCTGCCACCCTGCTCTGTCCCCTCCACCACCCAGCATGGTGGGCAGGAGGAAGGCAAAGCTCAGCCATCTTTGTACCCATCTGATATCGCAGGACCCTGAAGTCCAGAAGCACGCGACACAGATTCTCCGCAACATGCTGCGGCAGGAGGAGGCAGAGTTACAGGTACGGTGGTGACACGGCTCTGTTCTGCAGAGCTACAGCGGAGGAGCCCTCGGTGCTGCCCTGGCTTCCCAGCCCTCGCAGCACACAGGGACCCGCGCACGCTTCAGCCCATCATCCCACCTACCTGCTCAGCCCCATTTCCTCGTTGGTGGTAGGACGGGGCTTATGGGTTTGGGGCTGGTGTGGACATCCCCTCTCTTCTCTCCGCTCAGCGCTTCTACGAGGCGTACAGCCGAAACCCTGCCACCGTGGTGGAGGAGCAGATCGAGGGAGCGCGCCGGCGGGTCAGCCAGCTGCAGCTCAAAATCCTCCAGGAGACCGGTGGCTCCATGGTAGGTGAAATTAGTGGGGTTACCCCCGGTTCAGGGGTCCTGCCATCGTCTCATCTCCCTCCAAGCCTGGCTGGAGCTTGGGGAGACCCTGCTGAGGTGGTGGGCACAGCGGTGGAGGCATCCCTGCTTTCCAAAACCTGTTGCGGTGGCAGCTGCAGCGGCTGGCCCATCCCTGGCCCTGTGCCCAGGTGTCCCCACATGCCGGGGAGCATTCCACCAGTCCAACACACTTCCTCGTGTTGCAGGATTCGGGGCGGCTGTGCGGCGACTCCAGCTTGGCCGGTTTCAGGGTGATGGAAGGTGAGTTGCGCTGGCGGCTTGGACCGTCCCCACGTCGTCATGTCCTGAACACATGGGTCAATCTCTCCTCTGCTCCCAGGACGCCTCTCCCTGGACTCGCAGGACGGTGACAGCGGGTTGGAGTCTGGGACAGAGCGGTGCCCTTCCGTGAGCGAGGTGAGAGCGGGGTTACTGCGGCCGTGGGGAGCACCCCCCAACTTCTGCTGGGCCCTGGGAGTTGGGGAGGAAAGCCCAGATGGATGGGTCTGGTGCCTACTTTAGGGCTTGAGGACCTGCCATTGCAATCACAATTATTTGTTTGCCATCTGAAGAAGCTGAATTTCTTGTCCTGTGGTCTTGGCTCTGAATTTCTTGGGCTTGCAATGCTTAGCCTGGCCTGACCGCCCCAAAATGAAGGGTACCCCAAAGTTCTTGGCTTGTGGTCCTGATTTTAACACCTTTAAAGGTGTTTCTGATGGCCCTGGAGGGGTTTTGTGGTTTCCAAGTTCTCTGGGCCCATCTCCTTTTATGGTCGCTGACCTGGAAACTGCTCTCGAGATGGCCCCGCGTGCCTCTGCCGGGCAGGCGAGTGGCGGTGTCAGCATGGAGCCTGGCTGTCCCTGTGCCCCGTGTCCCCTGATGCCTGTGCTGCTGTCCCAAGCAGATCTCCCTGAACCGCAACTCCGTCCTCTCTGACCACGGCCTGGACAGCCCGCGAACCTCCCCGGTCATCACCGCCCGCCTTTTCCAGCACCATCGCCGGCAGGGCTCTGACACCTTTGCCCCCTCGGCCGAGCAGGTGGGCTGGGGACGGCTGGAGGGTCCTGCTGCATGGCCAGGGTGTCTGATGGGTGCTCAACCCGATCAGACATGGTCCGAGCCTCCCTCAGGAGCTAGCGGGGTGGGATGCTGCAGGGGGGAACAAAGGCATCCCCCCTCAAAATCCGGAGCCTGGCTCCTAACTCTGTCCCCCCTCCCTGCCAGGGCTTGGACCGGACAGGACGACCCCTCATCATCGGGCCGGAGGAGGATTGTGACCCAGGATATTTCAATAACGAGGTAACGGTGTTCTTGGGGTTTGTCCTCTCTCCTTAGCGGACAGGGCTGTCCCCCTCCAACGTGGGTCCCTTTGTGGCCCCCCATTTAGGAATCCTCCCAGGGGACATCCAGGGCTGGGCTGGGCTGAGGGAGGCGACTGTCGGGCTGGGGTGAGGGAAGGGATGTGGGAACTGAAGACTTACCCCAGTGTTGAGCTGTGGGATGGCCCTGATCCAGAGGAGTTAATTCCTTTCCATCCTAACTGGCTCTTTCTCCTCTGGTCCCTTCTCTGCGCAGTGCGACTCCCTCTTCCAGGACCTGGGCAAGCTGAAATCCCGGCCGGCGCATCTGGGCGTCTTCTTGCGCTACATCTTCTCCCAGGCGGATCCCAGCCCTCTGGTAAGGCACTCCCCGGTGGCACCAACGCAGGCACCGAGGTGTCACCGCCGCAGGCACCAAGCAGGGGAGGGGAGGGATGCAGACGGCGATGGCGTGTTTGGCACCATCCTCTTCTCCGGCTGAGCGCCGAGTGGTGCTGAGCCCATCCGCAGAGGCTGCAGGCAGCTGCCTGTACCGGCTGCCTGCTGCAGGCAGCTGCCAACCAGTGGTTCCCACAGCTTGTTTGTGCTCGTGAGAGGGAAACACAGCTCAGGGTTACACTTCCTCCCCTTCCTGGGGTGCTGCCCTCCCCAGACCCCAGTGATCGTTTCCTGTTTCATGGCCCTACGGGCGCCGCTTTACTGAGCCTTTCACCTCCCTGCTCCTCAACCTCCCTTTTCCTCCGCTGCCCACCTCCTCTCTCCCCTCTTTGCAGCTCTTCTACTTATGCGCGGACGTTTGCCAGCAGACCACCTCCAAGGATTCTCGGGTCTTGGGGAAGGACATCTGGAACATCTTCTTGGACAGGAACGCGGTAAGGGCAGGGCTCGGCTGTGAGCTTGCACAGGAATGGTCACAAGTGGCCCATGAGCCAGCAATGTGCCCTTGTAGCCAAGAAGGCCAATGGTAGCCTGGGGTGCGTTAAAAAGAGGTTGAGGGGGGTCATCCTCACCCTCTGCTCTGTCCCGGCGAGGCCATAGCCGGAGCACTGTGCCCAGTGCGAGGCTCCCCACTTCAAGACAGACACGGAGAGGGTCCGGCGGGGGCTGCGGAGATGCTCAGGGACTGGAGCGTCTCTCTGCCGGGGACAGGCGGGGGGAGGGGGGGCGGGGGGGG